GCAAAAATTTCTATAATTTTTCCATAATACATTTATTTATCTTGGCAAAAAATTACAATTCCCAAATTCAAATCATTTGAAAATAAGTTGGCAATTATATTTTACTCAAGCTGAAAAACATTTTTTTGTTTATATAATGCCGAATTTTCACTAGGCATTAAATGACACAAATTTTAATGACAAAGTTGGGCGTTAAAAAGCACCTGTGTTATTACGTTAAGAAAAATTGTCATTAAATTCGATACCACATTACACTTTTTAAATGGCACACAATTTTCGTCATTTCAATGCCTAGTGGAAATTCGTCATAACACTAGCAAATACCAGGAATATTTCGCTGCGCCTTAAATGCATTTTATGTTGTTAGTACCTCCTAAAACTCTTATGGCCTCATACATAAAAAAGTAAAACAGATTTCAAGGGATTTATGAAGAGAGATTTTCAAACCAAATTTCGATTTATGAAGTATTTTTATGAATGTGGGTGTTACTTAGTATATTTTCGAAGGTATTTGGAAAGTAAGTAAGTAAAGTATAGACTTTCGCTGGACATTTAATTTATAACAATGTGCGACAATTTTATGACAATTCAAGCCAGACCTGACTTTCTAATATTTTCTGAAAGTATACATATCCAGTAGGGCTGTACGATGATTCGAACACTCGAGCAAGTTTGTTAATCAGTTATTCGGTTAATCAATTACTCGAGTAATCAAGATTTTGGTTACTCAAAACGATGATTATTCAAGTAACTTGAAATATGATTACTCAAAAAAATTAATTTTGCTCGTTAAAAGAGTTTGCTTTGGAAAATGTTTATTTTCTTTTCTATATTCTGTGCATGAAAAAAATATTTAATTTAGTTTTTGAAAACAGAAACGTTGTTTTCAAAGTATCAAAGAACTTGAACTACTTTATATGTAAAGAGCACTTTGAAATGTTGATTATTTTACTCAGAATGTTGATTAATCATAAAGCATATTACTCAAATATTTTTGTTTTTGGTTAATCAAAATCTTGATTACTTGAGTGGCAGAACTTTTGATTAATCATAATCTCCAATTAGTCGAATAATTGAGTTATTTACTTTATGACTAATTAAAATTTTGTATAATCAATTAATCGCACAACCCTAGTTTTCAAGTGGAAAAAATGTTTAAAATTAATGTCTGAGCGAAATTAAAGGTTAAGACAGAAGGTTGCTTTGACCCTTAACTCAAGAAACCCCGCAAAAAGCAAATTTTGAAGTTAGAGGATTGCTATATTGTAGAAAACTATTTTTCGAAAAATTTTACTACTTTTAAACAATTCAAATAAAAAATCAGCAAACAAACTTGGTCTTTTTCTACAAACATTTTTTTTTTTTATTAAGTTTGGCTGTTATTCGTTCTTGGCATAGATTTTTTTATTTGAATTTTAAAGAGACTTTTACGTTGATGCCATGCAGTTTTCACCTGAGAAGACCCCTAGTAAAATTTTCCCAAGAATAATTTTCTAGAATATATCAATCCTCTAACGACCTTCCAAATTTACTTTTCACGGGGTTTCTTGAGATAAGGGTCAAAACGACCTTTTCAGGGAGCTAATGGGTTAAAATGTTCTACGAAATGTTCCGATGAAATTTTACTATATACTATGTCTTAACCTTTAATTTTGCTCAGACATTTATTTCACTTTGTTGAAAAGTACTTAGGCCGGGCCATGAAAACTTTAGTAGGCCTCAAAATAAAAATACGAGCTAACATTTGCAAATCCATCGAGGGTTTTACTACCAGACGGTTATACTCAGAAAATGTTAACAAAGTCTGGGCTGGTTTCGGCTGTCGCACAGTGTAATCTTATAACTCGAGTCTACATATCACGCACTTTCTTTAAAGGTGTATTAATTTAATATCTTGCGCAAAAAATATTTAAATACGGTTTATTTATCTACAATAAAAAGCGGAAATCAAATTTGTTATTAAAAGGAGTAAAAAAAGAAAAGTACTTTGAAGGCGCTATGAAGCACGCGGGGTATTTCCTAGTTGAAGATATTTTTGTATCAAAGATTTCTCAAATACTTTCGTTTGATACCCATATTGCAACATTTAGCTGGTCTTTTCGATTTAACTGAATTAAATTTTTCAAATACATACATAGGTGGCAACCCGCTTCGAAAATATTTTCGACAGTAAGCTTTCTTCGACCTCTTTAGTTTGATACCCATATTACAATATTTAATTTATCTTATTTAAATTTAATTTAAATTTTCAAACAGTTGGCTACGCTCCAAAAAAAATCTTAAACCTCTTTCTTTTGACAGCCATACTCCAACATTTGCATTATCTTATCAATTTACTTGAACTTAAATTTACAAACAGGTGGCAACTCTATTGTTTCTATATTGTAAATTATACTTCCAGCAATGCATGGATGAAACCAAGTCGGAGATAAGTCTATCTTTTGGTCGTATTTCCGACTTCTACTTTCTACCGGAAGTGGGTTAAACTGACAAAATTTTTTTTTAATGAGACATACACCTGTTTGCCTAAAATCTCGACACGACTAGTGTATTAAAACGGAAGTTGGCAGCACTGGATAGCTTTCGACGATTTTCGTCGTCTACTTATTTCATCACAACAGTAGGCAATGCCAATGTGGTCGATTGCAATGCAATTTAGTCTAATTTACGACTTACGCAATGAGGCTAAGCTATGTTTCAAAGCCAGGGCTTCGATCAATACAGAAAATATTCTTCTTTTTAGGCAGCTATGTTTTAAAACACACGCCACTGTCTTTCCCATAAAAATCTGGGTTTGTTTAAACGTCAAGTGTAGCCAACGAAAATGCAGCTGCGACAGTGAAAATGCCACTTATATATGTATATGAACAAGCCATTTCCTACTAGCCAATAGCCACTTGCCAGCAGCCAATAGTCGATGATGCCATAAATTTCGTACATAATCGCATTTCACAGCAAAGCAGCAGCAGCTGCAACTGAGCAAAAGCAACAGTTGCTGACGTTCGCACGCCATACAAATGGAATGAATAGATTTTCATTGCGTTGCTGCACTATGTAGTCTGGTTGTCCAGCAACGACAACACCAACAAAGGCAATTGTGCCCCAAGCTATGCGCCATGGCTACCATGTGTCATATGCTACAGTGCACTTAACGTCATTTTATATCGTCATAGTTTTGCCTTTGTACCCCACTACCGCGCGGGCACTTGTGTATAGTCTTTTCGCCAGTAAGGAAAATGAAATTAATTATTGGCTTGGCGTGTGTGCTCAACCAAAATGTGATTGGGGTGCGTCCACAGTGTGGCAAAAGCGACCACTTCAATGCCAATGTCAAAGGTCAAAAGATCAATTTTTATGCGTCTCCATGCTCCTTTCTTTTGCCCAACTTATTGAGTATTTGTTATAGCACTTCTTCCGGCGCTTTGATTGACTTACGCGTTTCCTACTCAGCGACTTATAGGACTCATTTATGTATATGTTTCTGCTTGCTGGCTTCGCCTTTATATTATCTAATAAATTTACGAGCAGCTAACTTTTATGACCGTATTTATGCACATGTATGGTCAAAAACATATATGTATAAATATGTCAGACCTACCTGTTTGTTTGTTAGCACGTGCCAATCGCCAACCCACGCTATTACTTAGTGTAAAAATATTTGCTTCAGTTCAAAATATTTATGGAATTAATCACGAATTTTCCTCTGCCACATTCTTATGTCCTAGACCACTTCGCTTCGGTTTTGCATCCCACTTTTTCGCTGTTTATTTTCAATTTCGATTCCCTGGCCCGCATAAACTTCATTTGTGCTTTCTTCCACCAGACAAACTCAGTTTTTTTAGCATGGCTTTGAAAAAAATTTCCTATAAAGGTTTCTTCAAATCGAACATATCGATGTTGGTATCTATAGCGAGTATGTATTTTCGGCGGCCTCTGTCTGAACCTGTTCTATATAGTTCATTCCATCAGCGCAAATTATTAAAAAATTTTTTTGAAATTTTGTGTTCGTCAGTTGCGTCTATTAATGGCCGACCCGGTGACACTTCCAAATCGAATCTCCAATTCTTGGTGGTCAAATTCGAAACGACCTTTGGGATAAAAAATTAGCCAACACCCATACTTCGAAGTAACAGCCGATCGGTCGTAATTTAATTAATTTAAAAAAAATATATATATTTATAAAACTATGTACATATGTCAAAAATTGTTGTCATTATTTTCTGCTACTTAAGGCGGATTCATCGTTATAGTTCTGAACCCTTTATTCTATGGAAGAAATGTTCTGAACTAAAACGATGAAATCCGCCTTTAATGTCAGTTTCACGAAAGCAATTTAAGTGAAAAATTTAATTTTTTTCTGTCAGTTTACATGTTAAACTCAAATAAAAAAAAAATAATTTTTCACTTATTTAAATTGCTTTAGCGAAACTGACTATTATTAACGTGGAATCCTTTCAAATGTGTAAAACTAATTTTTTAATATTTTAGTTTTTCTTGGTACTTTCGTAGTTTTTTTTTTTAATTAACTTTACGCTCAAAATATCCTGGTGGGCTGTCTGTCCATGGCATGTCTGGATATGCATCTATGCAAATATGTGCGTATGTTTCTGTTACGCGTAATGGATGCAAAACTCTACAACTCTCTTATTAAAATAAAAACGCTTTTATGCTGTGCTGTTGTGGGTGGGTTGTTTTTATCAAAATATAAATAAATAAATAAGTTTGCTGAATGTTCAAAGCTAATAAACTGCTAGGTATTAGGAAGGAGGTACGGGGGAGTGGTCTTTCATATTTTTTCAACATTCAACCGAACTTCCTCGAAACTTTCGTGGAATCGTAGAAAGAAAAAAGTACATACATTTTTTTTTTTATTTCCGCCTGCGCACATAATTATTATTTTAGTGGCAATGAGAAAAGAGTTCTCTAATTAATTTCAACTCTTCTAATTAACTTGCATTTATTTCATACGTTTTTTTTCTATTTTCATTTGTTTTTTGCAGGCGGATGCCAGTCTGGGTATGCACGAACGTGAATATGTACAGGAGTCCTTGAGTTACGTGCTACGCATACAGGAAGTGCAGGAGCGCATTAAATTTGAATTTGTTGAAATTCTGCTTGGCTTCATCTCCGGTTGGTTGGTTTTCTATCATACGGCGCACGAGCAGGCCGAGGATAATCGCGATTACCTGCAAGATTTGCGGCACAAGGTGCAAAAGGTGAGTCGGATTTTTAATAAAATCTGTTATTTCTTTAAAATTTGCTTATAAATTCGCTACTTGCAGACACGTGAGAATTTCGAGGGTACTCGAGAGAAAGTCACCGAATTGAAGACAAAATATATGGAAAAGAGAACGGTGAGAATTAATATGAAAAATATTGCAAAATTATAATTTTTTATGACAACAGCCTAAATAAATGATGGTAGCATAGATAAGCTAATTATTTTCATTCCAAGCTAGCCATACGTACAGAAATGGCAAAAGTTGTATCATATACTCTTAAATACTTATTACCAAAGATTCTTTGAATGTACTTCTCCAGCGCTTTCATTGACTTCAGTCCATAGGAAGCTTTAGCAAGGATGTGCATCCAGCCATAGATCGACATCGTTTAGGATCCCCACGCTTTTGGGAGATTCCAACTTCTAATATTGGCACGTCTTTAAGCTTTTTAAATTGTAGTGCTCCCAAATACTTTGGAGCGAGTTCTTAATACAGCTGGTTACGGGCATAAAATGTGCGCCAAGATATCCCTTGTTTTCATCCACCGCCATTTTTTGCACACAATGCTAACAGAAATTCCTCTTTTACCTCCGTGTGCCGCTAATAGACTGTGTTCTAGTGAAGCAAAATCTGCTGCGCAGGCAGAAAATAAAGTCCCGGGAAATTAACATTAGAAGAACATCATAAAACATGGCTCTCAGAGCATATGTATATGACTCACACCCGGCACTGACTTTCAGAAGCGTTGAAACAAAAACGTAGGTCAAAATCGAAAGCCGTGCTTCGTCAGTACGTGAGAAGCGGTTACAAATAAATCATGTTTACTAAAGAGAAAAACGTTCACTTTGGAGAGATTTTTCAATAAACAGAACGATAGGGTGTATGCTCGTCTCGTATGAGGTTCAACAAGGCCACTACCCGCTCCAGATCATAAGGCAAAATCGACACAAAATCATTTTTCGGACTTTACTTTCACGGATGATTCGCTGTCTGGTGACCAGAGCTCAGTCGGTTAGACTATTAATTATGGTTCTTTCTTGAGATCAGGGCTTGCATTACCCAATATTCAAGTGTTGAGTATTTGAAGCGCGCCCTTGTCTGGCCAGTCGGAAATTGCGCATTTTGCATGGGGTCGTCTTCGCCGCTGCTCGAAGGCAAATTTAGGTCATTTCGAATATTGTATTCTACATATTTTAGCCATTGGGTTATACAATAAATAGATACAAAGTTCTCAAGAATATTTACTGGTACCCTAGCTAGTCCATTTGCTTTGTAGTACCCTGTAAACATTTAGACTCATTTTAGAGTCAGAAAAGTCTCAGAATTCTGAGTTAAAATCCTCATTATGAGCTCAAAAAGGACTCAGAGAAGAGCATTTCCCCTTCTTAAAAGGTCACTCCAATACGAGGCCAAGCTAGAAGAGATATTAGAGTCTGAAATATGTGTCTTAAAAACAAATATTCCTAATATTTCTGTTCGGCAATAGTTTTTACATGCACGTGAACTTTGTTACTTTTCTTCAACTCAGAATTTATGACACCCAAACAGTCCGAAATGAGTGAGTCTGGTTGACTGGTTGAGTCAGTATCGTACTTTTCACGTCTAAGTTTCCATGATAACCAATTGGTCTTCCAAAGCAAATAGTGAATTATCACAACTTACAAATCGCACCCTAACTTAAAAACACTCACAACTTAAAATTTTTTTTTTCTCCACATTAAACAGTTCACAGGCCCCAAAGGTAACATCCGCCACCATTTCTTCTTTATCACCATCTTCTTTAACTGGAAAAATACTATTAAAACTGCTTGGGTCGCTTGCGCAGCATCAGCAAGAGGTGTTTGCCTCTCCTGAACATTTAGGATTTTTTGACGGTTTTTGATTTAGGGTGCGAAATTTACATACTTTTCTAGCAACTTATTATCTATGCAAATGTTTGTTTAACTGAACTATTCTTACCTTCACAGCTCCCTATAATAACAATAACTTATTCCTGTGTTCTTTTTATTTACAGAAACCGGAGGAGAAATTTACAAAACGCGGCTATTTGTTTTTGATGGAAAAAAGTAAGTTTCTCAAAATGAGAGTCTTTAAAGACTTAAAAATATTTAACTCAATTATAATTATTATAACAACCCTTTTATAATATAGGTCTTAAAATAATAGTTATCGATGACATACAAAATTTGTCTCACACATAATTATTATCAAAAGACTTATAATTACTCCGAGAATTTTGATGACTTTTTTAAAACTCCACCATGAAATAAGTATCATACAGGGTCTCTGAAATAACGGATTTTTATTTACACAACGGTTAGACCCGAAAAGCCTAACAAATATTTCAATTTCAACCAAATTAATCTGACCGGATAAACAACATAGGGAAACTTTTTATTCGACCTAGACAAAGGAGGCTTAGCTAGACGTACCCAGAAAACTTCAGGATGAAACACCGCATGAATTTTATAATACTAGCGTTGTGCAGTATCGGTACCAAAAGTACTTAGAACACGATTCTCAAAAGGATCGACAGTACCCAATTTTTAAAAGTATCGATACTGAGTACTCCAAAGTAGCATTCAATCGACGTTATTTGGGATTAATATATTAATTTGATTAAGGTCCTTCCATCTAGTTAGATTTCTTTACTAAGCATTGAAATGTTACCAACATATGTATATGTAAAGAAAGTACTCGAATCTCAAAAGTAGCCGATACTCCCAACACTATGTATATCAACCGCTAAGCCGGGTATAAAAAAGCTTTTAACTATATTCATTTCGTAACAAATGAAAGCTTTGTAAGCCCTCGCCACATAAATTCGATATCGTAGACGAGAACCTGAAATAGTTCTAGACCCTTTATCATATTAAACTTCTAGCTAGCATACCCAACTTATGTTCAATATACATACCTATATATCGTCGATGTTTTTGCAAAACCGCCTATCTTACGACACTCAAATTTTTATAGAAGAACAAAAAAACGAGTTTTCTTTAAAGGCATTGCCTTGATAGGCGATACTAACCACTAAACTTAAGAACAAGTACCCTGACTAATCTAACAGTGCACATCTTCAATTATATCTGTCTATCTAATTCACTCGCAATCGTATTTAAGTTGAATGAGCATTATGCATGAACCCCGTGAATCTAGATTCCCTAGGGTTCCTTCACTTGCCCCAAAAACTCCGAATTTAAAATGCATTTTTTTCTCGCATAACTTATTTTATTCTCCTCTTTTTCCCTGTACCCTCCCCTTTTGTTTCATTTTTTAATTCATTCAATCGATGTTGTGACCCCCCTGATTAATATATAAAATAGGTTCCCTTTTGAAAATCTCTCTTCTAGAACCATTCAAGGCAACATGGACGAAATACTACTGCACATACAAGAAACAAAAGAAGGAATTCACAATGTTGCAATTCAATCAGATGAATCACAGTTCAACACGGCCTGAGGGACGTGAAGAGGAGAAACTAACGCTATACTCGTGTCATCCACGCAACTCGGAATTCGAGAAACGTTTCTGCTTCGATTTGACATTCAAAGAGAAACCGGGTGTTGTGTACACATTTCAAGCGCTAAGCGAGGACGATCGACAGGCGTGGGTGAAAGCAATGGACGGCACTGAATCAGTGAGTAGAAAGAAGGAAGATTACTGGTTTTATTGAAAACGTATACTAATTTTAAAATCCTTTTCTCTTTCTTCATAATTGCAGACTTACTTTGCCCCAGGCAAAGTGAAGGCTGGCGAGGAATATCAGCTGGATGACATGGGCTTCGCTTTCGTGCGCAGATGTATCGATGTGCTGGAGAAGCGTGGCCTCGAGGATGAGGGTATCTACCGCAAGAGCGGCGTTGGTACGAAAATTTCCAAACTCTTGTCGCTGGGCATGGATCACAAGAAAGCGGAGAGTGTTTTTAGCGACGAACAGTATAGGGATCTCATGGAGAGCAACACTATAGCGAGTGCGTTGAAAACGTATTTGCGCAATCTAACCGAGCCACTGATGACATATCGCTACCACAGCGGCTTCATCGAGGCGGCAAGTGAGTACTTTGCGGCTTATTAAATCTTATCAATACTTTGCAAAATACTAGTATTTTCAATACTACCCCCTATTCCCTTGCAGAGCAAGAAAGCCTTAATCAGCGCGTGCATGAAGTGCATAAATTGGTACACAAGCTGCCACAGGCGAACTTCGAGATGCTCGATCTGGTCATTAGGCATTTGACAGAGTAAGTCGTATGCCTTTTTTCTCTTGCGATTTCCAATTATCATTTCATTCCTCCGTCTCTTTGCAGAGTATCGCGCAGGTTTGAAAAGAACAAAATGTCGGTCTTCAATCTGGGCGTCGTTTTCGGTCCGACACTGTTACGCCCCCAGGAGGAGACCGTTGCTGCCATATTGGACATCAAGTTCAACAACATTGTTATAAATATTTTAATCGAAAACTACGATCGCATCTTCAAGAGCGACCCGAGTGCGCCACTGCTAAGTGCACCCAATCCCACTAGTCCGCCGACGCGCGTGCCACGTGCTAGTCAAGCTGGTAAATCGCCCTCAGCTGGCGGTGGAGTGGGCAATGGCGGACGCACGTCCATGTATTCGCCTCAACAGCAAGTCTATCGGCTTGTGACCAAGTCCAACTTCACAGATCCACCGATGTCATCGAGTTTACAAAACATTCCAAATGGCCTAATCTATTCGCATGGCAGCGGAGGAGGCGGCGGAGGTGGTGGTGGCGGCGGGGGTGGTGGCAACCCGGTAAGCCGTACAAATGGCGGCCTTGTAAGTGGGCATACCACCAACGGTAGCGGTGGTGGCAGCGGCCCGAAAAGCCTTGGCATGAGCGTCAATATGGGTAGCGTCAAAAATTTACATTCCATGTCGCAGAGTGATATCAGCGTGCGCAGCCTACGTGGCGGCGGCGGCGTTAGCAGCAGCGCTGCTGATGCTGTGTATGGCATACTTGGCGGCGGCACGAATGGCTCCGGTCTGACAGCACATCATGCCACGCCCGCGAATGCGACGCAACTGCGACAAGATTACCTAATGGCTACAGCCACGCCGGCGTCTACGAGTATCGGCGGCAGTGGCGGTATTTATTCCACCGCCTCAGCGGGCAGCACTACACGGCTAAATATGAACAACGTCTCCCCACCAACGATATCCATGCGCACCGAAGCGTTGTACGGCTCTGCGAGTTTAGCGGGCGGCGGCGGTGGTGGCGGGCAGTCGCAACTCTCCCGCGGTCATATGTCGTATGCGCAGGCAAAACACTATTCACCTGTGGCAGCGGCGGCATCCACCTCTAGTTCCAATGAGAGTGTCTGTGATTCCTTATCGTCGGCGAATGGCATTGGCTGTGGGGTCGGCGGCGGGAGCATGGGTGGTGGCGGCAATAGTGGCAGTCGCATGCTTGGCGGTGGTAATTCACTGGACTATGTGCCACATTCCTCTCAAGCGTCTTCGCTGTCGACGCTTTTGGGCTCCACCTGCGACGATGTGGTGACGGCAACGGCGGCACCCTCTATGATTGGCGGCGGTGGCAGTTCGCCGAAAGATGGAGAGTATGTGCCGGCTAAGGTGCATCGCAATAAGGAGGTACAACGCGAACTGAACGCGGGCACAGCGTAAGTGGAGTGAATTTTTTTTGGTTATAATTAAACTTACATTTACTAGGACTCCATTAAGCCGCAATCGTTAAAAGTTTTCTTGAAGGGGCTAAGTAAGTTTCTTAAAGAAACACCTCTCAAAAACTTTTATTTGGAAAGTTTTTCCAAAGCCAAAGAAGAAACCATGATAAAAACATTGTACCTTATAAATATTTTTATCATGTAAGAAACTGTTGAACTGGTCCATGAATCAGCAACTTTTATAACTAATTTCTTTCCTGCAGTTTTATGCTGATTGTGAAATTTTTTTGATTTAGTCCAAATCTGAAGCCAGTTTTATTAGTTGTTATATGTCTATATGAATAAAGTCTACTGCAATAACTTGAATCCAGTTGGAGCTTAGCTTAGAACTTCAGTACAGTTTTACGCCGGTTCCGAGTAACCAATGTCGTTTTGTGAGAATTTTTTGTTAAAATAAAATCGAAAGGAGTAGGGATTAGAAATTAAAATCTGTCTCTCAAAGCTTATATATTTGATATCTCTTACCCAACTATTCCTACATATAATGCCGAATTTCCACTAGAAATTTAAACAACAAAAAAATTGTGTCTTTAAAACAAAATATGTTATGTGGAAACGAATTTAATGACTCAGGGTATTCATCTAAACGCGTAAATTCCTCGTAACTATGTAAATTTCGTTAATAAGCCGGGGTTCCATACCATCCATTAAGCAAGTTTACGAGGTTACGAGGAATTTACTAAGTATTTGGCCATAAGGATCACTTTCGGCTGTGTATATAGTCTCATTTCCTGCGATCCATGGCAATCAGTAATTAGATTCTCTAGTCTGGCTTCACGCTCGCACGCCTCTTGCAGGTACACATAGAATCGCTCCCTGGTCTCATTTGCTGACGAATTAATAATAGATTGCGTTGGCTGAATATTTTGTGTACCCTTGCCTTGTATACCACGTTTCCTGCAATGCGTTGATGTCACACTTGCAGTTACCGAAGACATCTAACAGTTTAGGTAGTGGACAGATGTACCTTTCGCAAGTCGTAGTCCTTATTCCGCCCTGATCTGCATGTTGGTTAACTCATTTCGCACATGTGTTGCTCACGAGGGAACGTTTGAGCCTGGATTGAGTAAGTCGTGAAACTGTACATAACTGCATAATCACAAGAATGAATACACCTTATTGCTCTCAAACCTCGAGCAAAGACAATGCACACTGGGCCACAGTTTAGTTAAAAGAGTGACCAAAACTCAAGTATTGAATTTTATTTAAATCATTCTATTTTTGATTTATAGATAACTAGAAGTTGTTGAAAAATAATTTTTAGAATAATTTATAAAGAAGTGTTATGCACCCATAAAGATAAAAAAATATTCAAAAATTAGAAATTGAATAATGACGAAAAAAGTTCTACTGGTTCAAATCAGAGCTAGACACTTTACAATTACGATTGCTTAATTGTAATCCTTAAACTATATCCGATTACGATTACTTTTATCCTAATCATAAATTTTACCATTACGAGTATGATAATTGTAATCCTAAGAACTTAAGGACTTAGATTACTGTAATCGAAATTATCTCCCTTATTCTAGAACCCGAATTTTCGTAATTCGTAATTCTTAGCTACGTTAAGAAAAACGAAAAATCCAAATGTGGCAACCCTTGCGGAAACATGTGCAGCATTGCCAGCTATCAGTTGTTTTTGTAGACGGTGCTTATTTATAGTAAAATTGTTCTATTTTACATATTTTGAATAAAACGATGGATTCCATAGGGTTTGTAATCCATACTAAGAAGAATTCTTCCTTCGGTGTTGCCGGAGAAGAGAGGCTTCCGCATGTCAAAGGTATACAGCATTTCTTGGGTATATACATAACTCCGGCAACGCCACTCACAGTATTTTTGTGCAGAACCCACATCGAAATTTACAAAAAAGTGCATAGTGCAAACCGAATTGATTAATAAACTAGTGCTCTGAAATTTAAAAAATGTCCTTTAAATGAAAGTTTAATCCTTTGATTATACGTGTATGTTAAAGTTTTTAGATTCGGGTTATGCCTTTGGACACAACAACCGAAAATCATTGTACAAATAACTAAACCGGACCCAAGTTTCTCGATAAAAATACACGTATGTATATGCAAAAGGCAAATTTATCTTTTCAAAAGAATATCACTAATATTTCCTGCAAACACACATCAATTTACATATTTTATCTCGCTTCCGTCAAAGAATTATTTTCGTACAAAATTACGCAAAAATGCTGTCAATTTCTTACTCGTTCGTTTTTAGGCATACCATTGTTACGAATTTTGAGAGTTCGAAAATACGACTTGGGTTTCAGAATGCTATTTCTACGATTCGTAGCAAAATCCGAATACGAAAGTGTTGCAGAATAGGGGTGTATGAAATACATGATTACGAATACTTTAATTGTAATCCTAAAAATGTTAAGATTACAATTACAGTACAGTGGCTCCAGAATCTTAACCAGTGACCGCAAAAACCCCCGAGTGACCAGTTTTAACCGAATACAAAAAAGTTTTGAATTTTTGGCCAGTTTTAATGGCTTTCTGGCTCACAGTTCTTTTTCCCATAAGGCAACATACGTTTTGTTCATTACTCTGTGTAACCTTAGGTCAGGACAAGTATTTATGTGACTGCTTCCGTTGCTTGTTACGCCAACCAAAGAAGAAGAATAGAAACTTCTTCTCCGCGACACGCATTAAAAAAGGTTCTAAGGCTAGAATGGCCTGTAATTGTTTCAAAAACAAGCAACAATTAAAAGGTGTTTCCTATGAGAATAAAATTACATTTGACGAAAAAGAGTCACTAGTTTGGTAAAGCCGGAGTCGCTTCGGTACATACGAGCAGCATCTATCCAGATTTGCCTATCAATTAGGCTGCGCATGTAAAGAAACTCCGCAAGACAAACATCTCTTCACCTAATTTGTATGTTAGCTAAGTGAGGTTGCTAGACGCCGCTGCACAGTGGTCCATAAATGGAATTTAATGTTAATAATTCACTGGAGCCTTCATTTTTCAACCAATTTGATATTTTTTTTTTGTTAGTGAAAGCTAATAAAATTCGCAAGAGACTAGTTGAGCCCAATTTTCGAGTTTTTATTTGTTTGTATTAAATTTTTTAGTGCAAGGTGCAGTAAATGCGCCAATTTTGAAGAAGACCGATTCTCCTGTTCCAGCTAATAAAAGTTTCATAATAAAAACTAGTTAAAAACAATTGTAGGGTTCTCCCAAAACAAAAAAAAAAAATAAATAAAAAGTAATAATTGGAAATGTTATAAAAAGTTTTTACCAAAAGTATTTTTTTGTTTTTAGTTTTTATAAAAAATTTGGGTATGCAGTTTTATAGATTACTAAATTTTAGTGTAATAAAGTGCAAGTAGCAAGTCGCTAAGAGTTCGCATTGATTTTTAATAATTTTTTCGCTTACATTTCGAGCACATCTGCATGCCAAATGGAAAATAAAAGCGTTTGTTATGTTATTAAAAATCAACGCGAACGACTTACAACTTGCACTTCATTATACCACCGAACAATCGCGTTGCAAGTTAATTTCGAACGTTTCTTTGTTCGCATCCCAATTGTTTCCAGCGGATGACTTGAGGACCTTATTTCTAGAAAGAAGCTGATTTGAACTGGCGGTGATAGGAGCGGAAATAGAGACCAGGCCGACAAACGTGACGTCCATTTCACACTGCAACAAATTTCGAGATTTTGTCAGAGGCGATATAATGCCAATTCAGGATAAAAGCCTAATAATATCTGAGCGAAAAACATTGTTCGGCCATATAGAGTGACATTTTCAGAGCAATATTCCTGTATAAAATTTTAATGCAGCATTTCCTTTAAAAAATGTCGTCTTGACTCCTCTTTTTGAGACCTTACAAAATAAGTGCATTTCAGTGGCTGGAAGAGGATTACACTGTTTCAGAAAATTATTCCTTGTGCAATTTTACTACAGGTCTTATCACGCAAAGTTTTTATGCGATTAACGTAAAATTCTACCGATGCAAAATACCTAAGAATTATATAAATTTTGTCTGGAATTGCGCAACGTTTTCTATGTAAATTTTTCAAACCAACCTTGAAGAAAATTATTGATTCTCCAATTTTCACCCCAACTACAATTATTAAATTTGCTCGCAAACGTGTCTTCTTTTCTTTCAGACGTGTGCGCACACTGTACGCGTGTATGGGCGAAAGCGAGGGTGAGCTGTCGTTTGAGCCAAATCAGATCATCACTAATGGTAAATATAAATTTAAAAAAAAAACACCTTTGACATCGAAATCAGTAACAAATTGTTCTCTCTTCTCTCCCACAGTACGCTACTCACACGAACCGGGTTGGCTGCAGGGCACGCTTAACGGTAAAACTGGACTTATACCACAGAACTATGTTGAACACTTAAAACCATACCATTAGAACTAGCTAACTAGTTATGAAACTGGTTAGATAAAGATACTTATGTACATATATGAATGTTTGATATAAATTATATATGTGTATGTATACCTACAATAATTTGTATATGTATGTGTGTAAACTAAAGGCAAATGCCGAAATAGTTACATGTAAATGTAATTTAAAGCGGCAAAGCATTTGAAAATTGGTGTGATGTAAGCAAAAGTACATAAAGTGCTTGTAGTTAATTAGTTAAGTAGGGATTTACAGAGAGAAGGGGAGCAGAAATGGCAAATAAAATAGTAGAACCGCACTAAAACAGCGAAATCAGCAAGACACCGGAATGCACAAGCAAGTTCACAGAATAGAAGATACCGAAAAATGTGCAGCAACTGATGAAATGATAAATATATAAAATTATACACATTTTTACTGTACTGTGCAAAAGTCCATAGCGCACGAAATTAAAATTTTTCGTAGGGCTTAACTTCGTAGGAAATATGAAATTAGCGCGTATTCAAAAGTAGCGAACATTTTCAAGCGCACAGTCCCGCAACCGATTGCAAAACCAGCCCACAATAACAGACTTACCAACCAAACACAACCACTTACACATTTATACATGTGCATGCACATATGTATGTACATATTTATGTACGTATGTGTATGTATTGATATATATATATATATATAAAACTTATATACAACCACATTTAGCCAGCATACTTTAAAACATACATAAATACCATATGTTATACATATAAATATACATATATTACAATATACAATACATATAAATATTTTTTTTCTATTTTTTAATACATGAACATGTTTAAAACAAATTAAAAAAAAACAAACACTAAATTTGTATGCAAATATGTAATTATCGAAAGAAAAGAAAAAAATGCAAAAATAAAAACTAAAAACCTTAGCAGCGAAAGAAGTTGCTTAAAAACGAGCAAAAGTGAATGATAACAAAAAATGTGCATAAGAAATATATGTAAAATTATAGTTGTAGTATCTAATAATTACTCATCTGTGAGTATGTTTGTATGTATAAAATATCTATTGAAACGAAATGAGAAACTTAAAAACACAACTTCACCTAAGCTAATTTATTATTTGTACTCGCTTTAATTTGTTGCGTTATTAAAAAAAAAAAACGAAGGAAAATAGAAAACCATGTTGAAATTGAAAAATTGTACGAAAATGTGAAGAAAACCTATTAGTTTACTTTGTAAATATATATTAAAAAATTAACATTTTTAAGTGAATAATAAAAAATAAAACCTATGCGAAAATTAAATGGAAATATTGAGTTTGTTTGGTTTTTTTTTTAAATTAGTTTCCTTAAAGGCAGAGCTCATTGTCATTCACTGCTAGCTAGAAGTGCACTAAGATATGCCTTCGCTTCTATCATGCAATAAATCCTACTATATATGTACATAAATAAATACCATTTGCTCGAAATCAGTTGAGTGACATTAACGGATTCTACTAAAAACGTAAATCGAAGACTCCCACAATATTTCTAAAATAAAAAGGAACACAAGAGACCTACCTACTGGTTGTAGTGATTTATTTATGTTATAATTACGACTACTTATTACAGTTACGTTACTCAAAACGACATAAGCCGCCATTAATGACGTAAAACCAAACTGGCCAACGGCCATTGCTGCCAAAGAACTTTTTTGTTGCTTTCACATACAACATTTTTCTTTAAGCGGCAGAACTCAAACCTAGCGAGCAGAGAAGTGGCGAATCGAAGGCGGCTATAGTTAGTTTCACATTTCGATTCTTGGCATTTGCATGGGCTGATAGATGCCAAGTGACGGAAATGTATAGCAAAGTTTCAAACCACCATCTTCAGGAGAAATTTCGTAGCTGATTTTCGCTGTTGAAATAAGAGGTGGCGCTGCTGTCTTTTGGAAACGAAAATGAAAGGTCAAATTGGAAATTGTAAAGAAGTATGCGTGTAAAATGTTCATAACCTGCAGAAATATTTCTAACTATATGTTAATTTGAAGTTGTTTAGAAAGGAACTAAAGGTCAATATAATATGTATATTTTCTCTAAGGAAAGCTTACTATATTTCTATGGTGAAGGCCGCGAAATAGTAAAGGGAGGTTACCTCTGCATTAGATGTCAACTAACTTGTAACTAACTACCCAGCTAGCAAATTGCCAGAAATCTGTTAGATATCGGTCAGAGAAGCGAATGGAGACGTTGACAGGAAGCCTAACCGACGATTCTGACGGATATCTAACAGATTTCTGACCAAATAATCATGGAAAATAAGAATTATCAGAAGTGTATGCCCCAAATCGCACATAATTCGATCAGACATATCGGATAAGGAAATAAATAAACTTAAAATGTCTAAATAGTCATCTTTTTATTCCGACTTGTCTGATATCGGAAATTGTCTGGCAAATGTGCTAGCTGGGTACATAAAATGTCAATAAGAAAAGCAATATTTATTTTTTTACTTGTTTATTTATTTACTTCATTTTTGTTTTGTTTGTTTGTTTTGCGCTCCTCAGAGGTGAAACCCTGGTTGGCGACTTTAATTCGCACCACGATTTTTGGCATTCAAGCAGATAGACAATTCGACTTTCTGCATAAGTAAAGACGAGGCACCCACCAGGATTATGGACAGCTTCTGCAGCTCGCCAGGCATAACAATTGTAAGCGCTGGTCTGATAAACAGCACAACTTGGCGAACTATGCCGACCTTAGCATCAGACCATCTGCCCATAGTCATCCCGATTGATAAACCTGCTGACTTTGCTTCCGCGGAACATCGAACCTATGCCAATTTTTCTAAAGCTGATTTCTCTCTGCCTTCCCCACACCAACCGACGATCACGTAGCTGAGGGTAAGTTCCGCAGGGTTATCACTGCTGCTGCTGCGTACTAGCCGATTGTATTTCAGACCTCCGCCCGAACTTTCCTACTGAATCGGCTGTTCTAGCCGATGAGCGTGACAACCTTCGTCAGGCCGATCCCGGAAATCACCGCATTAGAGATCTCAGTTCCGAGATTCAGCAGCTTGTGAACGCACATAAGCGGAAGAAGTGGGAAAGCCATCTGAAGACTTACAACTTCACCTCTGGTGTGAGTAAACTTTTGTTAACCGTTAGTTCGTTATCCAATCCGACGAGGCGCAACGACAGAGTCGAAATATCTTTTGCTGACCGCGCCTCGTCGGATCCGAAGCTATGTACGAGCCATTTTAGCCGACAATTCACACTGCATCCTCCGGCGGGCAAAGCCTAACGTCTAGTGACCAGAAGGCTGCACAAACTGCCAACAAAAAGTGCGCCTCTTGCTTTCACTAGCGGTGAAGATCAGGTAGCCATCGGGAAGGCTAAAGCCTTCAAAGTCATGGAAACCCGACGGAATATGCTGCTGATGCTGGATTTGGGTCCTACGCGAGTAGATTATTTAACCAAGGTCCTCAACCTGTCAATGCACTCTCTCGTCATTACAGACATCTGGAAAATCGGGAGAGTCTTCCCCCTGCTCAAACCCTAGGAACCAGACAACAAAGGAGAATCTTTACCGTCCGATAACCCTCCTTTCCCCGGTAGCGAAGACACTAGAGGTCTTGCTACTGCCGAATCATACAAACAACATGACTCAGTGAAGCATCGGCATGGTTTCCGTAAAGTTCACAGCACAACAACTGCTCGAGCACCCCACTGGGCCAGGAACGCCCATGATGACATTGATCTCCTACCTACAAACGAATTAATCGAATGTTCTGGATGGATTCTTTCCCTGTCCCCACTGCATCCTCTACAGAAATCGTTAGACGCAATATTAAACATAATAGGTGTGCATACCGTGTGATTTCAAAAGTTAATTTTTGAAAACCCATTATGCAGTGTTTTACAACATAGCCGATTTATGAATTCAAGAAACCTAGAAGGCTATGAAGCATTCTTCTTCTTTTTGTTTGGCGCAGTTACCGCCTAAGCCGTTTTGGCCGAGTTCAACAACACGCCAGTCGTTTCTCTTCTGTGCCATGTGAAGCCAAGTCTTTCTCCAATTGGATCTTCCATTGCAATGGGGGCCTCTGCTAACACAAGCGGGTTCCGAGTTTAATACCTTCAAAGCTAGATCGTCGGTGTCGTCCCGCTCGCCGTCTCCAGTGCGTAAAGACCCTAAATCTTCCGCAAAATCCTTACCTCGAATACTCCAAGATCCGCCTCAACGGTTGTGGTCATTGTCCAAGCTTCTGTGTCATATACCAACACAGGCATGATGAGTGACTTATAGGGAGTGGTTTTCACACAGAGATAGCTTTACTTCTTAATGGCCTTGGCTTTCGATGCTGACGTTATAATCGGCGTTAATGCTTGTTCCCAAGTAAACGAAGTTTTCTACTTTCTCGAAATTATAACTGTCAACGTGGGTGGGTGGTATGAAAGGAGATACTTCGTCTTTACCTTGTTTACCAGCAGACCCATTCGCTTCCTTATCCAACTTGGAAAAGGCAGAACAGACGTCGCGGTTTTTGTTACCGTTGATATCGTTGTCATCGGCATAACCAGCAATTGCACGCTCTTGTAGTAAATTGTTCCTGAACGGTTCAGTTCTGCGGCTCTTATTATCTTCTCCAACATCAGAATAAAAAAGCCACATGAAAGAGAGTCGCCCTGTCTGAAGAGGTCTTTCCCTATTCTGACGGAGGTGGTGGTATTGCTCAACGTCATTTTACACAGCGGTATCAGTTTAGCGGGGATGCCAAATTCTGACATCGCGGCGTATTGGCAACTTCTATTAGTGCTATAGGAAGCGGCTTTGAAGTCAACAAATGGCTAGTTAGCGCCGATCTTTTTTTCGCGGTTGCTTTTCAAGGTTTGGCGTATTGTGAATACCTGGTCTATGGTACATTTATCGGTTCTAAAGCCACACTGATAAGGCCTAATCAGTTCATTGACGGTGGGCTTCAGTCTTTCTCACAATGCGCGCGATAAGATCTTGTACCTATGCTAAAAAGGCTGATCCCGTGGTAGTTGAGCTATCCTTGCATTTTTGGACGTATATCTTTTGCTGTACAGAGGCGGGTGCAACAAGATAGGGGTTCGAGTCGACCTCGGAGTTTACGGAAGTCTAAAGCACTGGAAGCGAGCCTTCTCTCCGGTTTGAAACATTGCATTTTCATAATCGACTTTTGCGTAATTTTCATTTCAAGTCAGACATTACCGACTTAAGAGCCCAGTAATTAACTGTTCGAAATGAAAACAAGTCTTCAGAGAGATTTTGTATAGCATTACACTCGTTAAAAGTCGTACATATGTATAAGACTCCCGATTCTATGCCAATGTCCGTTTCTCTGCTCCGCTTATGA